TGCATTTAAAAATTCCGGAGGGATGCCGCGTTCCTGTCGGGAGTGCGGGAGAACAGGGTGGAAGAAAGAAGGGCAGGGCAGAGCAGGGCCGTGGTGGTAGGTAGGTAGGTAGATAGGAAGGAAAGAAGAGGAAGGAAGGGATGCATACGTAACTCCACGCATAATCGCCGCGTCGAAATGCATCGCGACGGCAGGAGCACCTCTGGATTTAATCGCGTTGGTCTTGTCGCTACCCTGAGACATCCTGACAGGATGCGAGAACGTGCCTCGAGTCGACTCGAGTCGCTTTTGCGATCGTCTCTCCTTAAATCCCTTTCACACTGTCATCTATAAGTCCCCACGAGGGAGAAATTTTCCAACGGACTTTGACTGATCGCTCATGAAGCGGCGTGTTCCCGAGTCTTGAAGCAATTGATTGTTGCGCCCGATAGATACGAGCCTGATCGTTTGTTGTTACAACGAAATGCAAAACAGCCGAGGGTTAAGTAAAAGTAAAACAGGAGGGAGAACCATCGGCATAAGAATATCAGAACGGAGCATTTTCTTCGAAAGGAAGTGTTCTAATTGGCAGTGAAGGGTGAAGTTACTTCCTATGCGCTGCCGCATATTTTACTCGAATTGCGCCTGGAATGTACGTGTGCTCCCTCTAAGAATGACGTTTCGCGTGTATCATATTTTTAGTAGCCCGATTGTTCGCGATCGACCAAGAGACTGCCGTAGCGCGCGCACAAACGATGATCGCTCTCTCCCTCTCACGCTGTCGCGGACTGACGTAAGGAACTATTAATCAGGCGTAGGAATAAGCACGTCTGTATCAGGGACGCTGTCCACGAGAGAGCTCGCGATACCCATAATTAATGATCGATTATACCGATTGACCGTCGCGGCCGGCAGTGGCTGCTGCTCTCGCTCCTTCGTCCAAACAGAAACGAAGGAACGCGTCTCATTAATCGCGCTCCCGCGGTCGCTGTGCGACGGCCTTAAGGCGGATTTCGCCGTGGCATTAATGCGCGAGCACCTTACGTGGGACGCGCAAACACGCTCGGCTCGAAATCGATTCAGGAATGTCGACGTTCGATTCCCTTTTTATCGTCGATCGACGGCGCGCCGTTGCCCACGCAATACGCGTACGCGGGCAGACGCGAGTGCACGCAATCGCAATCGCGCACACCTGAAAAAGTAGCAACGACCAAGCAGATCGATAATTAAGACGTCGTTCGACTCTCTCTCTCTCCCCCTCTCGCGGTAACATAGCGGTTATTATTTCCCTCGCGTTTAAATGTCATCGACTGACTCGCGCGGAGACAGCGGACAGCGCCGATAGCTCATCCTTTGCACCACGCTCAATCTCCTTCTTGTTCCCTCAGCGTTGTCCCTTATTCTATCTTATATACGCTATTTTTCTCTCACGCGCGGTCTCTCGCACCTGCGCTCACCTGCGCTCTCGCTATCGCTCGCTCGCTTTCTCTTTCTCTCTCTTCCTCGAGAAAAAAGGAACCTCGATCCCATGGAGGTTCTACCTCGATATATCACGCGAAACGGCCGAAAAACAACGAGTTCGCGCACGATTTCTCGTTTCAATAGGAGCCCACTTTATCCACAACATTGCTCAGACGGGAAGTAGAACGCTAATTAAGTAATACTTCGATCGAGTAATATCCGCTGTTTCGTACTAATACCTGGACCTTGCGCGGCGAGATGCCCCGGCGGGTTAGCCCTCGTCCGCGAGCTTGCATGCGGGTACAGGATTAATAGCATTATTTCTACGGAATTTGGATAATTACTGGATGTCTACTTCGTGCTCTAAATTGCACTCGAGTCCCGGCGGAGGTTTGTGAATTTCGAGATAACGATTACTCGTTCGGCCGCGTGCGATCAGTGCATTCTATTTTCATCGCGCTACCTTCCACGCTCGTCCTTCACTGATAACGCCCTCCCATTTCTTCCTCCGACTCCTTCTTTCGCCTCCTCGAAACTTTATCGGACTTTTGTTTTATCGGCGTCGTTCTTTTTACGCCACGTCCGTTGTGTTTGCGCTCGTCTACGCGAGAGGAGACTTTCTTGCGAGAACCTCTCGCCTCCACCTTGTCTCCTTCTTCATCATTACGCGTGTATCCCCCTTTCCGTCCGTTCTCCTCGTCTCCCTTGGTACACCTTCTTCCATTAAGAAATAATTTCTATCCGCTCCTTCGTTCCTTCTCACCCCTACCTCTCTCTCTCTCTATCTCTCTCTATCTTTTTCTTCCTTTCTTTTTTGATCTTTTTCTCTCACTCTCGCTCTCTTCTTTCTTAACCCACCTACCGGCTCATCCTCGACCTCGCCGATCTTGCCTTTATCCGCGCGCGTTTATTAAAGCCTCTTTGTGCGTCGACGTCGGGGATTTACCGAGGCCGAATGACGCGCGAACATGCATCGCACTCGCGTTACCGCACCGACGCGAAATCACGCTAAAAAGCTCGCCACACAGCCGCGGGTACGGGTACGAACCTTAGAATTAACCACCACCAGTACACCGACACACTCGGTAGCGTCGTAATTATTGTTATTATTTCCCCGCCCGTATACCTACGGACGCCGAGATTGTAACATACTTGCCGGTACGCCGTGATTGCCTGTCTTAGGTAACGACTCATTACTCGGCCAGGGGTCGAATGCTGATCGGTACGAAGTGGACAGCCCTTGGCCTTTGCCTAGGATCCTTCCGGGCTCTCTGTCAGCCTCTGCGATCTATCCATCTCTGTCTTTCTCTTTCTCTCTTTTTGCGTTTCGTAAGATTGTATCGATTAACGGTGCAACAGATCTCCGAGACACACTGGCTTTTAATTAAGGAGTTTGACTCACCACGCGTAATTAACGGAACTTTAGTCGGATACGAAGAATTGACCTTAAAAATTGATCATCTCTCTCTCTCCTGTTTAACCGATACAATTTTTGAAATGCATGTTATGCTCGTGACAGATGTGACACTACCAGGCGAAATACGATGAAAGTAATGCATTTTTCTGTCGTCATTGAAGAACGTCAATTATCGTTCTAATGTGTATTATGAAATAGACGAACAGATGTTTCCCAAATTGCAGCAAATTACATGTCGGTCGGCTCGATTCACGCTGTTTATATTCTGGCACGACGCGTCGCGGCGCGACTTAATTAATATTTGTTAATTAAATTGGAATAGCGAATGCCTGCTTGCCGCGAACTCCGCTTCACTCGCACTCAGTCTAATTTGTTGTAATTTACACGCAAATGCTTAACTATTCCATTTCTGCCTCAATAGAGTAGCTCGTTCCCAGCGCGATCTTTTTCCGTTTTACATCACGCATTCCGTATATTATTATAATATTTTATCAGTTAGAGTGAGATGTGAAGTCGATATACTTGGAATCAATAACTACGTAATTTGAAATAGAAGAGTTCATGATACGGGTACCTCGTAAATACATAAGGGGAGTCTCAAATTAAACGAACCTGTGCTGAGCGAAGAATTCCGAAAATCAAAGACCCGCAGGATGAATTCAATCAATCGAAGGAATCTACGAGCAGTTCCTGAAATGTTCAGGAATCCAATTAATTAAATCCGTAATGGTGGTCTCATGTAGCTAAGAATAATAACGCAATCGTTACGTCGAGATGCGGTCGTGACGGTCATTACGAGAATTCTTTAGGACGGTAATAATTACTAGCGAGCAACGAATGTCGCTCGTTCTCGAATAACCTCTGAGTAACACCGGAGTTAAACGTCACCGCGATCCGCGCGTCGTGCTGCGCTCAGATGATTACTGTTATTACTAGTCGCGAGTATGACCTTTTTATTAGGCCCGCGAACGATTCTGTTCTAGTCGGCGGGGAGGACTCGCCGCCGCGCCTGTCGTTTCGCTGCCGATTGAAAGTCCCGGGATTTAATTTGCGACCCCTTAACCGCGACCGCGAATGAAACGTGGTGAGGTCTGAGAGAAAATGAATGCTGCGAATACACCTGGCGGAATGATTACGCCGCATAGTCGCTCGCGAGAAAGTCACGACGCCGTGTCCTCGCCGTATTATCGCGTCGTCGAGTTTTACGTTAAAATAATAGCGTGCAAATTGCAGCTACGCTGTTACTTTCGGCGACTGCAATTTTAAACATAGACGCCGCCGCGACCACGAGCCGGCATTGAAGTTACAAAAAACTCACCTGCGACAGTCACGGTAACCACCTGGGAAATTTGCGGAGGACGAATCCGCGCGACGATGTAAATATTCATGTAACTTTCGTAATACGGCAGTAAAATAGCGGCTCGTTGCAAAATTCACGCCGCTGCCGGATGTTGCCGAATTATTATATGTCGTTACTATTAAAATCGGTGATATATCGTGCGAGCCACGAGGGAGGCAGGGAGGGGACAGCGGCACCGTATCAAATATTTTTGGAAATATTCCCTCTCGCCAGCGGGAAAACGGAATACGCAATGAACGTCAGAACTAATATCGATAATTAATAACCAATAAATACTAAAACGGAAGTAAGCTTTACCCGGCAATAGCCGGGTGCTAGCAGTTGTTCATAATTCCGTCGTGAATATTTAATTTTTCATCCCACTCGTGTCATCCACGTTTCGTTAATATGAGCACTCCGCGGCATTACGATAAATATATTATACAAGCTTGTTAACTGCAATCTACATCAATGTGTAACTGCGTGTCCCTCTAATTCCGTGCAAATCCGCCGATTACCATCGATTCTTTTTTCTCTACCAACGAATCGACGGGACTGATGCATTATGCCGCAAATTAAACTTTCGGCAAAAGCATCGATGACTGTTGAAATTTGCACTCATATGTCAGATATTCATATGTCAGAGATGCGAAGCCCGCGAAGATACTCTTCGCGGGCGAACGACGAAGAGAGGCAGAACATCATAAACCGTGTACTATACCCCTCAACGAGCTTAGGAACTCGCTCGTTTGCAGATCGCGCCAATCGATCTTCCTACAAGTGAAAAAATCATTCTTCTTTCAGGTGGTCGTGGAGAGTTCGACATTGGCGTTGGAATACGGCGATCTCGAGATCGACCCTGGCTCCCCGGTGAACCCGGATCTACTATTCGATTCGCAGCTGATGCATCTCTATGTACTGACGGAAAAGAAGGTCTCGAAGGTCAAGGTGCAGGAGTGCTCGGTCTACAAGACCTGCTGGGACTGCCTGGGCGCAAAAGACCCGTACTGCGGCTGGTGCTCGTTAGAGAACAAATGCAACCTGCGCAGCGACTGTCAGGACGCGGCCAAGGACCCGCTCTATTGGATCTCCTACAAGAGTGGTCGATGCACGACGATCACCACCGTCACCCCGGATCAACTACAGCGCACTACCGCCAGGACCCTCGAGCTCGTGATCGAGAACCTGCCGACCCTGTCGGGCCAGTTCCTATGCGCTTTCTCCGCCCTCGACAAGACCCTGATCACGAACGCCTCGAGAAAGTCTTACGGCGTCAATTGCACCACACCGAGAACCGACCTGTTGCCGCCGATACCGCCGGGCCGGCATCACTTCACGGCGAAGCTGTCCGTGAGGATGACCAACGGACCTGATCTAGTGGCGACCAACTTTACGTTCTTCGACTGCAACACGTATAGCTCGTGCACACAGTGCGTGTCGTCGAGTTTCCCGTGTGACTGGTGCGTCGACGGTCATCGATGTACTCACGATACGGCGGAGAACTGTCGGAACGATATCCTCGTTACAGGAGTCAGTGTAAGCCCACGTCGATTGATTCATTTTGAATCAATAGATTTTGAATCAATAGATTTTGAATCAATAGATTATCCAGAGATGAATAAATTGTCTGGATTTTTGTGTCATCCTACAAAATCACGTCTCGTTGAGAGAAATTAACGAGTGTCGATCCTCCGCGAACACTTAACCATCCCGTTTATTTCGGAAATATTATGTATTTGATGGAGAAAATGCTGCTAAAATTGTATCCGCTTTTCGCTGAATAATGTTTGAAAACTGGACTTATCGTTTTCACAGATAAGCGGTTTATACATGCCGCAGATCCCGAGCAACCTAGTTTCCAACCAAAATTGCAATCCGGTTGTTAAATTACACGTTAATACGTATCAACCGAATCCATTTTCGACTCCAATTTCATTCGTTTTGCAGTTAAAACCTTGGATCCGTTCCATAAATATTATCGCATGATTATCAATTAACTTGTAATTTTTTATAAAAACTTGACGCTCTGAATTTTTATGGTTTTTAATCATAACATTTTGAAATAATCAAGTGAGACAATATTACAAAAATAATCAAACAATAAAATATAAAGTTATGGAATTTCTTGACGAATTCACATGTATTTTACAGAGAATGGGACCAAGCTATAGAAGTGGGCCAGGTTTTTGTCCCACTATAAATGCCACCGATTCTCAAGAGATCCTCGTGTCTTCCGGTATCAAAAAGGCGATACGAGTTAAAGTGCATATCATTGGGGTATGTTGAAAAACACTATTTCATAATTAATTCAGTTATAACTAAACATGTTATCTATTTACTTCCATGTCATTTCCAGAACATTAATATTTCGTTTCAATTATGCTGTTGTAATAGAGTGTTTAAATTGATAGGCGGCCACACAGCATACACATACATAAAATTAGATGTACGATTGAATGAAATGTCTCGATGAAAGAAATAGTTCGTTTAGCACTGTGTTACGCAATCATCGTGCGAGTATATTATTGTTTTTTCTACAATAAAACTGCGATTTTCAGCAATTCATCATACAAACGCGCTTCGTGTGTCAATTCAACATCGAAGGTCGTGTGACGAGCGTGAACGCTCGCCTTTTGGCCGATACGATCTATTGCGACGACACTGAATTCTCCTACACCTCTCGTGCACCAAACATCACGGTGCCCTTCGCTGTGATCTGGGGCGGCTCCAAACCCTTGGATAATCCGGACAACATACACCTGGTGATATACAGATGTCGCGACATGGCGGACAACTGCGGCATGTGTCTGGCTCTGCCGACGAAGTACGGCTGCGGCTGGTGTCAAACCTCGGACAGATGTGAAGTGAGAGATCAGTGCGACCGCGGCGTTGGCAATTGGCTGAATAGCAATTCCACCTGTCCAAATCCAGAGATACACGCGTTCGAGCCTATAATGGGCCCTTGGGAAGGCAACACTAACATCACGATACGTGGTATCAATCTTGGCAAGACCTTCAAGGTAAGGAAAACGCCCTTTTCTGTTCGCGGTACGTAACACGTCGTTGACGTCAATGAACAAAACACTCGTATTCGTTGCTTCTCGTTGAGATTTGTAATGTTAAACTTTCGCCATAGTCAATATAAATAGATATTGATGAATACTATTTGACTAAAGACGCTAATTATTGTTCAACACGCATGGCAGGACATAGCCGGAGGCGTCACTGTGGCCGGAATGCGATGTCTGCCCTATGAGGAGCTCTACATACGAACCAAGCAGATTGTTTGTCGAGTTGACGGACCTGGGACGCAGGAAGGCAGAAGCGGTCCTGTCATCGTCAAGATTGAAGATTTCCGCGGAGAATCTGACTATAACTTTGAGTTCGTAGATCCGCAGATCGTCTCGATATCGCCCAAGTATGGACCCCTGAGTGGAGGGACTACCATCAAGATCACTGGCAATTACATGAACGCTGGCAGCACTATCCATGCCGACATCGACGACCTGCCCTGCTCCATAATAAGTGCCGAACCTAACGAGGCTTTGTGCATGACGAGTCCGAGTGATCGGAAACGCAGCGGTATGCTGAAGATGTCCTTTGACGGCGGCAAGCGTCTTTACGATGGTTTCTTTGAGTACGTGGACGATCCCACGATAGAGAGCGTGGAGAGTGGCGTGGCCGGTCAGATGAAAGTACCGAAGGGAATCCCGGCAGGCGGAATAAAAATCTCTGTAACTGGCAAGAATCTCGGCTATATTCAGAGCCCGCAGATGTACGTCTACTTCGACGAGAAGATGTTCGTATCGCAGTGCGAGGTGCACAGCCAAGAGAGTATGGTGTGCAAATCGCCGACGATTGAAGTGCCCGATCATATACCACTGGACGCTGAGAAGCCGCTTTCTCTGGAATACGGCTTTCGTATGGACAATGTCACCGGTGTGCAAAACCTCTCGCAGCATGGCTTCAATCAATTTCTCCTCTACCCGAACCCGATCTACGAGGTGTTCGACGAGGAGATCAAGTATTATAAGAGCGACTACCTAACGATTAACGGTCAGCATCTCGATCGCGCCTGCCAAGAGTCCGATGTAGTCGTGCAGATAGGTAACGCCTTTTGCAACGTCACGTCGTTATCGCGACAGCAGCTCACTTGCCGGCCGCCTTTGACACAGCCACCGGCACTCGACTCCCAGGGTCTGCCGAATAAGCAGGAACTGCCGGAGGTGATATTGATAGTGGGCGGTACTCTGCGTTACAACATCGGCAAACTGAGCTACGCATTGCCGGCCGGACTCAACGGGCCATTGTCGAAGCCCGCGCTCATTGGTGTGATCGCCACCATAGTGGTACTGATCTTTATATTCATTGCATTCCTGATAGCTTACCGCAGAAAATCCACCGAAAGCAACAGAGTGCTGAAGAATATGCAAGAGCAGATGGATATTTTGGAGTTGCGGGTCGCAGCTGAGTGTAAGGAAGCCTTCGCCGAGTTACAGACGGAAATGACGGATCTCACGGGCGACTTGACCAGTGGTGGTATACCGTTCCTCGATTATCGTGCTTATGCGATGATGATATTGTTCCCCAGTGATGACAACAGTCCGGTGCTGCAGTGGGACAGGCCGGAGTTGGTGCGAAAGGAGAAAGGTCTGCGTCTTTTCGGACAGCTTATAATGAACAAGACTTTCTTGTTGCTGTTCGTACGCACACTCGAGAGCAATCGTTACTTTTCCATGAGAGATCGCGTTAACGTCGCCAGTCTCATTATGGTCACACTTCAGAGTAAAATGGAGTATTGCACAGATATTCTGAAAACTCTGCTAGCGGATCTCATCGAGAAGTGCACAGAGGGCAAGAGTCATCCGAAATTATTCCTTAGACGGTAAGTGCAGTAACGATATGTTCTCTCGATTATTGGTATTTAAAATTGCAAATACTTGCGTTCGTCAATAACTCCTTTCTTTTTTTAGAACCGAAAGTGTAGCTGAGAAGATGCTATCTGCTTGGTTCACATTTCTCTTGTACAAGTTCATGAGAGAGTGTGCTGGTGAACCATTGTACGTGCTGTTTCGCGCAGTGAAACAGCAAGTTGATAAGGGTCCCGTAGACGCGATTACATCGGAGGCACGGTATTCTTTATCAGAGGAGAAATTGATCAGGCAATCTATAGATTTTAAACCTATGGTGAGGAAGCATTGATACTTTAATGATAGAGCGATTTGATGTTTCGATATATAATGTTTCTATTGGAATTTCAGACGGTCTACGTCTCGATATCGCAACAAACCGTATTCGTTGGCGGGATGGATCCTAACACGGAAAATGTGCCGGTCAAAGTCCTCGATTGTGACACGATATCTCAGGTGAAAGAGAAAGCGTTGGACACGATTTACAGAGCAACTCCTTACAGCCAAAGACCACGAAAGGACGACCTCGATCTTGGTAGGAGACAATTGCTCTCTTTACGTGAAAATACTTCTCATATCAATCGAATCAATCTCACATCGTATCGTTGACGGAATGTTGCAGAATGGCGAACTGGTGCATCCGGTAGATTAATTCTCTACGACGAAGACTCGACAACGAAAACGGAGGGCGAATGGAAAAAGAGGAACACTTTGAATCACTACAGGGTACCAGACGCAGCGTCGCTCAACTTAGTCTCCAAACAATCTTCTATATATAATCTCTCGATCCTGTCGGAGAAGACGGACAAATCGCACAAGTACGAGACTTTAAACCTCAGTAAGTTTAGTTCGGCCAGTCCTCCGCTCTCCCGTGCCACCTCGCCGCTCAATCAGAACCACGACGGTGGTATGAAGGTCTGGCATCTGGTCAAGCATCATGACTCTGATGCACGAAAGGAAGGTGACCGCGGTAACAAGATGGTCTCGGAGATCTATCTGACAAGGTTACTAGCAACGAAGGGTACGCTCCAGAAGTTTGTCGACGATCTATTCGAGACCATATTCAGCACTGCCCACCGCGGCTCGGCGCTTCCTCTCGCTATTAAATATATGTTTGACTTTATGGACGACCAAGCGTTGCAACACGGCATATCCGATCCCGAGGTGGTCCACACGTGGAAGAGCAATTCCCTCCCGCTTAGGTTTTGGGTCAACCTCATAAAAAATCCGAACTTCATTTTCGACATACACAAGTCCAATATTGTGGATTCGTGTCTGTCCGTCGTAGCGCAGACATTCATGGACAGCTGCTCAACGTCGGACCATAGATTAGGTACGTTATCGGTGTAAATTTTTCATCGATTAGGGAGTTGGTGATATATAAAAAAGAGAGATATAAATTTACTTTTTATTGATGATTTCTCTTTCGCTGTTCCCAGGTAAAGACTCCCCGAGTTCGAAACTGTTATACGCGAAAGACATTCCAGTGTACAAAGAGTGGGTAGAGCGTTACTACTCAGATATCAAAGTCATGCCAGCCATATCCGATCAAGACATGAATGCCATGCTTGCAGAAGAATCGAGGGTACTTACCTGTTTTTATATTCTCAATATACAGATTTAAAAAGTAGTTTATATTCTGGTGCGATTTTCAACTAATACGTTCGTCTGATCTTTTTTTTTTCAGTTGCACACAACGGAGTTTAATACGAACTGTGCTTTATACGAACTATATACGTACGCGGGTAAATACAACGAACAACTGATAGTCACTCTCGAGGAGGATGAGTTCTCGCAGAAGCAGAGACTGGCGTATAAACTCGAGCAAGTGCACAATATAATGGCGGCGGACAACCCCTGATGCACTATGAATTCCATGAAGCACCCGACGAAGCCTGCTCGTCAAGAATTACCTTGCTGAGCGGTCGATCACGGTTCGGTATTCTCGACGGCGCGAACCGAAGGGAACTGACTGGCCTACCTTGTAATCGATTGTCTCAGGTTCCGTGCAAACAAGCCAGTTTTCGCCAACTTAACGCGAATCGCGCGAGTGAACTTTTGGGAGGACCCGCATGGTGTACACCTCACGGGTACATGCCGCGAGTTAACTAGGAAGTTAATTAAAGGATTAAGTGTTAAAAAGAAAAAAAAAAAGATATGTGTCGAGGAAGTCTTCTCAGAGGTCGCCGGTTCGTAAGGTGTGGCCATAATCATAAGCACATGCTGCGCGCATATTGTACATAAGATATCAAAATCGTGAATAATTGTAATAGGATATTAAATGTACGATCACATCTCGGCGTCCGAGTGCAAGAAGAAAGCAGTGGGGCCGCGACGTTTTCCCCCCACGCTGCGCGGTGATCGCACGTTTTGCATAAATCGCGAATGATTTTAAGATGAATGTAATAATGAAGCACTAGTGATAAGGCGAGTGAGGGAATCATCAAGCCGGTCGATCGATATTTGTAAATGTGTTTAAAAAACGGTCGATTGCCAGCACTCGGGAGCTCGGCGATCGGCGATTTTTAACGAAGAAACATTTCCATCCACCGCTATTAGCTGAAATTTTTTGAATTACGAACTGACGAATTTTAAGAGATTAACGGTAATTACGGATAACAGTGAATAAAATTAAACTATATATATATATATATATATATACACATAAAACTATATATATATATATGGATATATATATATATATATATTTATATATATATATATATATATATATATA